AGGGTTTTGTGGTGTTGGGGTGGTTGGTTGTTGTGGTTTGTGGTAGTCGAAATTTGTTATCGTTCGTCGGTTTTTGGGTTTCGTGGCCGAACGTTGCCCGTTTTTTTTGTGTAACTGGGTCTTTTGTCTTGTGGGCGGTTGGGTTTTAGTCGTAGTTGATGGGATTTTTGGTGTGTATTTGTTGTGATGTTTGGATTGTCGAGGTGGTAAGGTTGGTTGGTGGTTATGATTCGTGGTGTCCGTCCTTGGTGGCGGTTTAGCGAATTTGTATTTGTTTGGCGATTGTTTCGCATTTTTAAATTTGTTTTGGATTGGTGTGGTTTTGCTGTAGTCACACGGTGGGAGTGTGTTGTTGGTTTGTTTTTGTATTTGGGAGTTCCGTTTTGATACGACTGGGGCGTTCGACGCGGTGGGGCGTTCGACGGAATGTTCGACGCGTCGGAGCGTTTAATGTGGCGGAGCGTTCGGCGCGGCGAAGTGGCGAAGCGTCCTGTGTGTTATATTTGATGCTGTACGTTTTGTTTGGCGGTGATTCGTTGCATTTTCACCGGATTCCCTTGGTATTGTGGTGAGCTTTTGCTTTTGGTAGAGTGGAGTTTGATGTGCCGGAGTGAATCTTCCTCACATCATGTCTTATCCTACCGTGGCATTCTTTCACCGCAATACTTTCGAGAATGAGGTCAAGGCTTCTTGGGGTGTAAGGGCAGCGCATTGGTGGGGCTGCGGGCTTTCGCGGTGCTGGTTCGCATGGTTCCGTCTTTCGTCTGTCCGTCGTTTCCAATACTCAACGAGATATCTTGTAGTCGTAGAATGTCCACTAACGTACCGTACGTATGGTACGTACCGGTACTGGAATTGACTGAAAGTAAACACCCGTTTAGCGCCGAAGAATACCGTAGGGTACCTTACGTACGCAACGAGGAAAAGCAATAGAAATAGAAATAGAAATAGAAAAATGTCTTCCAGGCGTTTCAAGAGCGGTAGCGACACTTTTTCTTCTGATCGATTACAAATATTTGACAAGATGGAAGAACAAAAATGCCCCGTCCAGGGAATGAGCAAAATGAGCATTAACGACAGCATCGGTAACGATAATGGCAACCCCGTTAGCTCTCCCGTGAGAACCAACGGAACAGCGGGGAATGAAAACGGGAATTCCAATCCCACTTCTGGGACCACTCCTGGTCAGTTGTCCCTGAGCCATCGGGTAGGACGCAACAAGAGCGGGCCATTAGGTCGAATGATGAAAGGGACCCGTGCTCCACCGAAACGATCCCAGTCTTCGAAAATTGGACGGCCGACCTTTGACCCCGGATTGGGCGACTCACCTCCACATGTTGAACATACGATGCAGGTCAAGAGGCGTGGTGTCGGTCGCAGCCAAAGCAGTCGAGTCAAGGGATCTACAAGAAAAGCACCAGGACGTTCGGGATCCTTTCAACGTCGTCGTGCTCCAGACCGAACGAACAGCTCGGCTTCCTCGCGCCGAAGAACTCAAAAGTCGACGAATGTCGGGACGATCGAAACCGACGATGTGTCGATTACCGATTCGGTATACACCTCCGTGACTTTTCAGACAATGGATTCCATCACAATTAGGAAAAAGCAGATGCCGCCAAATCAAGCGAAAGATGGTAACGAAATGTCCATTGAATTTGATCATTCTGACAATTGGATTGATCATGACGATGATGGTGAAACTTACGACTACGAAGACGAGCTGTCTGTTTTTTCGGAATCCTGGAGCTCGACTGAATCGTGCGAAGTTCTTAGTGATTTCGAAGAAGGAGAAATGGATGGTGCTATAATGGAAGATGACGAAGATAAAATGGAACGAAAGAATCAAAACACAACTACGATCGCGTCGACCGAATACGAAAAGAAGGAACGAGAATGAAGTACGAGTACTCTACGTGTTATTCTTTTTCTGCTTTGTTGAAGAAACTATCAACTTTTCCAACCATCAAAGATAAGAATTGCTATGTATGCCTGAAAAGAGAACTCGAACTCGGGGCACCAGGATCTCCAAAAAGTTATTTCATTTGACCAGAGTGTATTCTTAAGAGATCGTTGTTTATCATGTTAAAGAAGCGAAATAAACATCTTGTTTCAGACAGTCGTTCTGTGCACACAAAAGTCAGCCGAGTTGATTTTGCCGGCTATCAAAGACATTGTACCCAACCACGACACAATTTTGTTTCGAAATATTAGACATTCTGACTCTACATTGAGATGGCAAGATCTGCTTTCAATTAACTGCGATGTTCGCAGAAATTGGTGGGGTTGATTTGATCTTTCTTCTTTTGAGACTGTCGTTTGAGAGATGAAGATGATACGGCATCCAACGCACTCATCATTTGCAACGACGGAAGCATTTTTGAAAGCCGACGACGATAGCCAAAGTAGACGGGAGACGCCAAGATATTGAACTCCGTCTTACTGCTTCTGTAAACATCATTATCTTAGAACTCTGTTTTTGTCGGTGCAGTATCTGCGTCAATTCCAATCCATCCATCTTTTAAATTTTGAAACGAAAAGAAAATTGAATTCTGCGGCTAAGAACCTGACCTAAATTTATTGTCATGAATGAAATGCACACGATATCCACTCACCTGGCCATTCGTATGCGTAAGCACTCTTGTTGACGGTTTCCCAGTGATGCATCTTTGTCTTCCTGTCTAGAAAGGAATACCACGAATCCATCATGGTCATTCCGTGATAACCTCGCATGCGATTGATGTACCTGTTCGTGACAACAGAGGGCAGTTTGAAATGCAAAGAATTTGAGTTAATCGATCACGGGATAAGAATTGCCTTCCTTGATTGGAAATGGCGAGTCCAGAAGATGGAAAAGACGTACCCTGTAAATGTCGAGAACCAAGTCCCAGCAAAAGCTCTTGCTCGACTGGAAACAATCGTGTCAATCATTCCGAAGTAATTTGAATCGATATCTCCAAGCCCAGCGAGATCCCAGTAATCGTCCAAGAATCGTATATCATGGTGTTTTGCAATGGGGTCAAAGAATGATTTGTCACGCTCGTCAGTGGCGATAAATATCAATTCGTTCGGTTTCCATATGTCTTTGGTATTCTCATACCATTCTTCGGCTGGAATCTTCACTTTTTTGTATTGAAAATCTCCACGGCGAATATGCATTGCCGAATACCCACCGCCGCCCTCTTCGTCAGTAACGAAGTTTCTTTCTCTAGCTTCAGCTTGTAAAGCCTTAACAATCTTCCCAGCAGCGCAATAGATTTCATCATTGTAGTGAAGAAAATCTCTCACGAATCGCTTAAAATGATTGTCCAATGAAGAGTTTGTAAAATGAATAATGTTGTAGAAATGAGCAAGAAGGCGGAGCTCCTTCTTATCGTCTGCTCGAAAGTGCAAAAGCGTGTGGTCATTCAGCTCTGACGTCCAAATGAAACGATTTCTGTCACCACAAAAGGAAGAAATCGAGCTTTCGCTGCTGTTTGTCGTCGATTTTCCCGAGTACAGTGCCTCGTCAAATATGACGCAATCGTTGTTGGCACCTACTTCTGGTGTGTGGCCAACTTCATGAAAGTAATTTTTGATGTTGTCACAAAAATTCTTTTCCTTTTTTCTATTGACGCAAAGATCTGCACTAGCCATCACTTGTTCTCTCATTTCTTCAGGGATTGGCAAGCGGCCATCAATTCCACCCTCTCGTTTGATGAATTCTGCAGTCGATATGGTCTTCACCCTCTTCGAAAATTCCGGTGTACTTAATGGAAAAAAGTCTGCAAATCCTCTTTGCTTATGTGCCTTATCGGCATCCAGACGATACAGAGGTTCTTTTGGGGGCAAGACGAGTGTTCTACCGGTCGCTGCAGCAATTACGAAGATAATTTCCATTGACATACGGACGTTGTTCCATCCCCCACGATCAGTACCAAAAGATATGTATTTCTCATCATTAGAGTTGGGAGCAAAAGGAGTGATGAACTCTTGATCTCTTACCCCTTGTGGATCATTCCAATAAGCCATGGAATCAACATTAACATCGCACCTGATCGTCCCCCTTGAAGCGCCTTTGAGAGCTGGCGTTTCCTCCTCTGATCTTCCTGCCAGACCACGTTTAAGGGGTCCCTTATAAAACATTTCGTCAGTTGACAAGTCGCTAATTTCAATCCTTGCCGGTAACTACGTGGAAATGGAAGAAATGCCAATAAAGCTTGAGGATAAATTCGAAAAATATATTTTCCACCCTTTCAATTTGCTCACGTACCTTGCGTTGGAAATCTTCCTGATTAATTTGTTCTCCATTATCTAACTCCAACGTTGGGGTTCCTTCATGTTCTATCACCTCATCTCCATCAATCGCAATCCATCCTATTGGCCATTCTCTTGCACCATAATTCCCTGTTGGATACTTGTAGTCACGGACCGCATCTTTCCTCTTTAGATAGGAATACCACGAATCTTTGATTGAGTACCCTAGATATCCCCTCATACGGTTGATGTACCCAGTGAAAGTCGAAAACCAAGTTCCAGCGAAGGTTCGTCCGTGACTTGCGACAATGGTATCCACCATACTCAGAAAGTAAGGATCTAAATCTCCCAAATTGCTAACTTTCCAATAATCGTCTAAGAAACGGACATCGTGATATTTTTTAATAGGATCAAAGAAAGTTTTGTTGCGCTCATCGGTTGCAATGAAAAGAATCTCCCCATCGTTCCAAATCTCCTTCAGATTTTCGTACCATTCTTCCGCTGAAATTTTAACTTCTTTGTATTGTAGATCTCCACGGCGCACATGCAATGTAGACCATTCCTTTCCCTCACTATTCAATGCTTGAACAATTTTACCTGCTGCGCAGTATAGGGTATCTTTATAATGCAAAAAGTCACGGACAAATCTCTTGTAGTGATTATCAACAACGGGATCGGAGAAAAATAGAAAAGAATAGAAGTGATTAAGAAGTCGATGTCCTCCCTTGTTGGGATCTACTCCTGTCGAATCCCAATGAATAAGATCTGGTTCGTGCAACGATTGGTTATAGTACACTGGGGTCCGTTTTTCACCGCAAAACCGATTCGCACGTTGTTCTAAGTCCTCTCCAACATCCCCGCCATTGAAGACGTGTTGATCAAATACAAAGCAATTCACACTAGACTCCAAAGGTGGCTGGTATCCCGCCTTTCTCAAGTGCTTGTAAATATTCTCGCAATGGTTTCCTGCACCGTCCCTATAGAGACAAAGTTTTGCTGTTTCGTTGGCTTTCAGTTCTGTGATTTCTTTGTCGGTGAGAAAACTCAACAGCCTTTCATGTCCGCCGCCTTCGTTGGAGAAAACCTCACGTTCAAAGAACTCTTCCATTGAAATTACCTCAACTTCTTTCTGAAATGCCTCGTTTGAAATATCATAGAAAGAACCAAAAGACCGAGCGTTCTTCTCACCCATCCCTAGCAGATAAAATGGTGCCTTCGGTGGGAGTACTAACGTCCTCCCTGTTGTCGCTGCAAAGATAAAAATAATCTCCATACTCATCCGGATATTGTTCCAGCCACCGGGGTCCGGCTCAAAAGTCATGTATCTAGGCTTTCGTTTCTCTCTGTCGTTAGTCTTCAGTTCCATAGCTTGCGCTCGAAAAGGACTTTCGAAGTTTTGATCCCTTGTCCCTTGCGGCTGGTTCCAGTAGACAATATCATCAACATCCACATCGCATTCCACGTGACCCCATTTCGCTCCCTCTAAAGCTGGAGTTTGCGACATAGGAAGTCCTGCTACACCACGCGCTAGAACTTCGCGGTTCATCTTCTTCTCAGAATCTGTTAATTTGTTCATGATTGGATCCAAAACATCCTTCGGCAAATCATTTTTGGGTTTTCCTTCCTCTTTTCCTTTACTGGGGAAGTGCTTTGATTCTTTAGCATTTCCCTCTGTTTTATTTGCTTTCGTAGGTTTCTCTTTAACCTTTGGAGATATTTTTGCGCTTTCCGGTTTTTCCACAGGTTTCGCATCGAGACTGTTCCCATTCCTGCCATTTTCTACCGCCTCCTTTGACTGGACAATGACATTGTGTATTGAACTGGGTGCGTGATTTAAACCGTGTCCGGTTGTCGTTGATAATTCAAGGAGGACGATGGGAAGTAGTATCGTCATCGACAGTGCTAAGAATATGACTAGCAACAGGATTCTTTTTGCCTTAGACATTTTTGATATCGCAGCGCAGTTGGCCTGCTCTCTTCTCACGGATCGAACCGATCTGTATCCTGAATTCCGGTGACCCGCCGATGCTGAAAACATGGTACCGTAGGTTAGGGTTGCGGGTTCGGCGATAATGGTCGGGATCCTTGTTGTACAATGCTTTTCTAGCCACGGAATGCTTCCCTAGACTCGATCTCAAGTGGTAGTCGACAAATGTTGATCGGTATGTTTTTTGTGTCTTCGGAACGAGATGTTGCCAGTCTCCGCAATGCATTGGGACTTCCGCGGAAACATGTAAATCGACGGGGCAAGAAAAAAATTAGGCTTCTGGGCTTTGGTTTCCGATACGGCAATTACGAGCAGGGGTCATAATTTAGAGGGGTGCGCGCTCCGGCATTTTCTGAAAAACTCATATTCCATGTTAGGCACCAATAAGAAAAATTTCCCCCCAGGTAAAAAATTCATTTTTACTGCATAATACTAGTAAAACTATCCAACCTTTAAGCAGTTACAACATTATCAAAAATACTACCATTAGAATTTTTGAGTACACTATCTAGCCAAGTTTTTCATGAGGATTCTGAATATGCCAATATTTTATGTATCAAATGAAATGATAGTGTACCTTTTCACTGTTGAATATTGACTAGATTATTAGTACTAGAAATTACTACTGGGGAATTAGTGGGAGAAACGGATGAAGGACAGACAGTTCGAATTTTTGCTAAGGACTAGACTGGTGGGACTGACTGGACAAAGGACAGACTATTTCTACTGCAAATACAGTACTAGTCTGTTACTACCACCAGCCCTGTGTCAGCACCTTAAAGTTTGAACTGGACGAGAGAGCAATAACAGTGAAAATATACTTACTACTTGACTCTCAGCTATATGAGAGATGTGCATGTGAAGTTCAAAAATCAGAGAGTGATTGGAAGTGTTCCCGTGCATGGGGTCTTTCAGGTACACTTTTTGCAGTGATAGTATGCAGTAAAAATAAAATTGAAAAAAATCCATGGGGGGAAATTTTTCTTATTGGTGCCTAACATGGAATATGAGTTTCGATGCGATGCGCACCCCTCTAAATTATGATCCCTGATTACGAGTATGTACCAGTTAATTCAATATAAAGTGTGTTAACCGTAAAAAACCTACTGAACCCTACTTGGAGAAAAGTAACTTTACTCCAGGCAGAAAAATTATTACTAGTAAAATCATGGTTAATTTTGAGGCCCAGCATTTAGTACTGGTTCCTACCAGCCGCTACATAGATCTACAAGTTTTTGATCACTTTTTGACCACAAACAGTGTTCATGAGGCAATTAAAAGTGCTCATGAACCGGGTCAAATGAGATCCCCTTTGGGGATATGCTTGGTCATAGTGCTAAGAAGAGTGCTGTTTGTCATTGTTACACGATTAGGGGTCACCAGGGGGAGCCGGTTCTCAACTTTACAATAGTAGTAACAACTTGATCAAAAATATTGATAATGTACATTTTTACTAGCCTGTCTACTATCATATAGGCTTAGCCAGCAGATGTATGGTTCCAGCCTTGTATTTGTGGCCATCTTTTTCCGGTGTAAATATGTTGAGCGCGCCAACTGACATCACAAAATCTTGTCGGAACACACCATTTTTTCTATGGAATTTTTGTCATGATGTCTGTTGGAGTGCTGGAAATAAATTCTCGATGAACATATTTACCTAAAATAACATCCGATGCTGCACCAATACTGATCCTTCATGGTGTTAGATGATGTTGATAGCAGCAAGGCAACTCCTTGTCAGTTGTTGGACACAGAGGAGTCCTCACAAACATGTGCTCAAGCTACCATAATTCCAGTGAAAGCGCTTCTCGTTCCGACAACCAACATCCACTTGCCCCCCCCCTCCACTGACACTAATCAGCCACATTATAAAGCAACAGTTCATCTTCAGCAACAGTATCAGAAACACTACTCAGCAACTCTAACCAGCTATCAATCCAAGCAAGGTACATATCAACGACAACAAATTGACAACTCCCATCAGCAGCACAGCAGCACTAATCAATAGCAGCAACAATGACAACAACCAGCAGCATCATTATCAAGAAATACTATCAGGAGCAACGCTCAGTAATACTGTTACTAAACGCTCAGCAACACTCATCAGGAACAGTTCATCTCCAGCAACACCAGTATCAGCAACACACCAGGACAACGCGTCAACGCTATCAACAACAACAACAACAACAACAACAACAACAACAACAACAACAACAACAACAACAACAACAACAACAACAACAACAACAAGGAATTGACAACATCGAATCGACGACTCCCATCAGCAGCAGTAATCAGCATCAGCAACACTCAGCAATACTATCAGCAATATCTCCAGCAACAGTCCTATTCCCAACAGTATTTCCACAGCAACAGTACTATCAGCAACATTATCGATGCCACTCAACAACATAACCAACTGACGTGGTTCCTCAAGAACCAACAAATGTTCAACAACAACACGGCAACCAGCCTTCTTTGAGTACCAAGCGTCTGCCTTTGAAGCAGCCTTTGAGTTAGAATCAGTTGTGGAAACTTTGTTTGAGGATGATGAAAGCTCAAGTGATGAGGAGGTTGTTGATGAAACTGACCCTAATTATGATTCTGAAGCTTCAGGAATGAGTCACAAGGAGGCAGCACAAGCAGAGTTCTTCAATGTGATCAGTCAGAGCCAACAAACAGCTTGGAATTGGGACAATGTGATTGAGCCTCATGATACTGAGTTCTTTTATTGGAAAGATGGAACTATTGTTGACAACAGTCTTAACTACCCAAAGGTCCCAGTGGGTTATGAAAGAAAGGATCCAAAGGTTGACAAAGGTTAACCTGAGCACTGGAAAGATGTTGATAATCCAGGTGGGTGGCATCCGTATTATTACAGACCCAAGTTTGAAGCAGGTACAGGGAAGTACAAAGGACACTTCCTTCCTTCTGAGTGTAAGCCTTTCTAAGTTCCTAAACACTTATCTGATCTTGGCAAGGAACCTATCAGAGAGCAGAATGGATGGAAGTTTCATTACCTAAGGTGGGATGCGGATCCTACACTGGAAGATCCTAACAACCAGTTTACAAGGAAGTTTGCTACTAGAGACAACATGTTTCCAGATGAGAGGAAGGGGAAGTTGGATATTTACAAGCTTCAGCAGCATGGGCTCACGAAGGACCGTATTGAAAATGGAGATGCATTCTTCTTCTACCAGTTGCTCCTTCCTATTGCTCCTGACACAGCAGATGCTCAGCGGTACCAAAGTGAACCAGAGAAGAAGCTTACTTATTACAACAAGGTGATGAGATATACAAATATGTACATCATGGATTCAAATGAAGGGGAATGACAAACGCATACTTCCAGTACCAACCCCTTTGCTCCAATGAACTTCTCAGCTCAAATCAAAGCTCGTTACAAACTAAATGCAGTTCCATACAAGTTTCATACTCCTGACACCCTCGCTAAAGTTCTCAATATTTTGGCAATTCCTCATGCAATCCGACAATACCATCAAGACCCTCAAAACTTGCCATCAGGTTTTGTCACGCGAGATGGTACCTACTTCGTTCTTGTTGATCTTGGACCACAAAGTGAAAAGAATGACAGGTGACACATCCTATGAACTCTACAATTTGTACACGTGCTTCACAACCCATTGCTCTTGATATGGTAAATATTGTCACCCATATCCATGCTTTTGTCCCACGTGCACTCACCCCCGAGGCTTCACCATTGGCGCAAATAATGATGATGACCTTCATTTGACCTTTGAAACAAAAATATCTACTGACTCACGAATCATCTGGGATGTTCTTCACCAAGCTTGGGCTTCCCATGATAAATTCTGTCATATTGTCAAGCTCCACGATGGGCATGGATACAAAGCATTAAAATCAATCATCTGCGAAACTCATCTGCTCTTGATTGAATCCCCGTCCATGTTGGTTACAACACGTCCTACCCAAGGATCACTATCCCTTATGGAGTATTGGAAGAAATACAACCACTACATCATGCTCTGAGCATTGGTTGAAAATAACAAACAAACTGTTTATGACAAAAACGAACGTGAACACTTTGTCAACGGTTGTACCTACTCCTCTTTCCTCCAAACCGAGATCCGTCGCGAGCAGGATTTTGACCATCTCAAACACAAATTTGAACCATCCAACTTCCTTGCTACCCTCCAGCAATACCTGAACCTTCCGAATAGTCCGGCCATCATGCAACTGGTATACCAAAACCAACCTCACAAATTCAATCCATACACTCCAAGTTACAAACGTCCCAAATCTGCAACAAAAACGGCCTTGGTACACCAAATCCAGACTACCGAAGTTGACGACAACTTCCTCGACCTTGCTTACTCCATGTCAGTCAATCAAATCAAAGCTAACCCAGCTTCATTGAATAAACCATGCCTCATCTGCAATATCAACTTTTGCCAAATGTACAAACAAGCGCAAAATTTGCTAAACAAAGCTAACGCCTTGATTAATCAAGTTCATGCAACAGCACCAATTGAAGACACACAGCTAATGATTGAAGAAGCCTTACCTCCCACCACATCAACTAATGATGACAATGAAGCGGATTTTGTTCAGGGCCAAAGATAAAATTGGACGATCCACGCCCTCTCCCTCATCCGTCACAACATCTCCCCGTCCTCCATATGCTAAATGCCATCCATATCATGCATATGCACTCCACAGACACTGTAAGGGATACATCAATACAGTCAAAATCCCCACGTGCCCACATCATGCCTTTCTAACCAAAACTGAAAAAGGACCCGATACACCCTGCAAACCAGTTGTAACATCTCCAATAAATGTTGTCGACATTCACTCAACTACATCTACACCACATCCTATACTGCTGCCAACCGTATACGCTTCTAATATCTCCTCCACCGTCAGAGCACAAATTGACACAGGTACCAATATTACGTGTACCAATCTGATTGACGTAATACACAACTACAGACCATACACCAAAGACTTCCCGTGCCAGCTAGAACTTGTCAGCACCATAAACTCTACCAAAGGCGTATATCCTCACAGTGAAGGATACCTACATGTACCGGCCGTCAACGACAGTGGTTATACATGCATTTGCTGTATCTATTCCCCAACCCTGTCCTCCACATTAATTTCTGAAGATGAATATATATGTTCTAATCCAAAACTCAAACTTCAAGATTATACAATTGAAATTTACAAATTTCATCACTCCAATAAAATCACCATCAAATGTAAAAACCAAAAGGATGATGATAAAACAATCATTATTCATGGTGTCATTTCTTTTGGCAAATTGTACACCCAACCACTCATCATGCCTGATCTCCTCCTGCATCACCCTCAAGGGACACCATACAAGTCTCTCGAGAAAGCCCTCAGTCACGACGACCAATTTGCAAAGAACTGTTTTACTGCCACTGTCAACAAAATACATGTCTACCAAAAACGTGCGCACAATCACATCGAAGAAGAAATGCATCAACTACCTTCCAACATCCCAAACCACCCCATCAATGATTGGATATTTGATGCTGCGCCCATCAACATCATCAAAGCCCAAACAGAATGACTCCTTCGGCATCAACGTCTCAGGCACATCAATGACAATTACTTATACAATGCTCATAAGTTCGTTGACGGTATCCCCAAGTTCAAGCACAACGATCCAATCCTCGATAAAAGTCCTACATGTATACAATCCAAACAAACAAAAATGCCAGCTGGCCCTAACACCACGCGCACAGCTCAATTTCCCTTCCAAGGTCTCTCTGTTGATTTCTCGTTCAGTGGTGTCAAATCTAAGGACACCTCACGTGCACAAGACTACGAAGGAATTAATGGTGAAACCAGTTGGATTCTTATCTCAGATCACTTCACTCACTTCTTAACTGGCGACACTTGACTTTCAAAAGCATTGCCTATTACCTGGCTTCAAAACTTTCTTGAAATGAACGCACCAAATTGTTCTGACAAATACGTTCACATGGATCAAGGTGGTGAACTCTATCATAACCCAGAAGTATTCAAATTGTTTACTCAACATGGCTACCAAATCCGACCAACAGGTGCCGATTCCTCTCACCAAAACGTCCCAGTTGAATGAGCTCATCAACCAGTCACTGAACAAATACGCTGCCTTCTCTCGGGTGCCCACCTTCACATCAAATTTTGGCCATATGCATTTCATCACTCTCTTCGAATCCTGAATGCACTTCCCCAGCGCACGCAAACACAATCGCCTCTGCAACTCATTACAGGAAAGAAAGAAAACTCACGCAACTTTAAAACTTTTGGATGTTGCGTATGGGGTCGTCCACCTGGTTGGCAAACCGCTAAATTCAAAAATAATTCTCGAAAAGGCATCTTCCTCGGATATCTGGCCGTCTTTGGGAAGAACATATCAACAAAATTCTTTTCTCCAAAGAATTACGCTTCACGACAACAACTCAAGACAAATGTATTTATCAAACCACTTTACAAAGACATGAAAATACTTATGTTTCATCAAGTGGATGACTTCCTCATCTCATCACTGAATGCCACTCTGGCAAATGAAATCTACGACATTATAGGCAAGAAAATCCAACTTCCAAAAGAAAATAACATTCCTTTCAAGAACTTAGGACTTGCAACATCATATAATGGAGTCAATATCAAGCAAACCAAACACTACATTGAAATTTCTTGCAAAGATTACATTGACTGTGTTGCCAGATCTCATGGATGGATGACACCCAAAGATGAATTGGTCAGTTATCCAATTGCTCCTCTCCCCAAAAAGGCATTAGATAAAATCTTTGACAACGACAGCCCACTTGAAGGGTTACCAGAACACAAGAAACTCAAAGAACAACATGGTTTCCCCTATCGTACAATGCTTGGCAAAATCTTGTACGCCTACAATGTATGTCGACCCGACATTGGTTTTGCTGTTTCAACCATGTCCAAATTCTCGTTGGCTCCTTTGGATCTACACTTTAAATATCTTAAAGGTGTCGCTCTATACCTTTGACAAACCAAAACATGGGGACTACAATACTGCAATACAACCATTCTACCAGACAACTAAATCCCCGATGGCACTTTCACTGATTCTCCAATTCCATTACCAGATAATCTTCCACCTTTTCCGTCCTTACCTACAGATGCCACCATCACATGTCTTGTCAAAGCCGCATATGCAAACATCAAACTGAAACAAAAATCCACCACAGGTTTCGCTATCATGTTGGCAAATGCCGCCATTGTATAAATCCAAAACACAATCACAAAGCGCGCAGAGCTCCACTGAAGTGGAATTCTATGCTGCCGTTTCTGCTGCCGAAATTGTGTTGTACCTCAGGTCTATTCTTGCTGACCTAGGTTTCCCTCAGAAAAATCCAACAACGTTGTTTGAAGACAACAATTCTACCATCAAAATTGTAAACTCAGGAGTCCTGACAGAACGATTGCGACACATTGACAATCCCTACTTTGCAATTCAAGATTGGAAACGAGACCTCTACATCAAGATGCAGTTCGGTTGGGTCCTTCACAATCGACATGTACGCTGACTGTTTGGCCACTTTACTATTTCACCATCGAAATAATATCCTCCTTCCTCGTCATTTTTGCTCTGATCTGCTCGATTTACACATCACAGATCACGGGAGGGTGCTGTCTGTAGGATATCAGACCATGGGTATGACTCATATCTATGACACATACATGTGATAAGTATCTACAATTCATACACACCATACATATATGATTCACTTGATCCCATTGGATTCATACAATTGACATGACTCATTTCATTCACTTCCTTGAGTGACTCKACTCATTCGATTCACACATCACTCGATCCTCACAGTGATCGATTCTAGATTTCATAGTTCGTCAATCCTCAATAAGAGCATTGACTCACTTTTCTTCTAGCACACATTTTATATCACTATTAGGACAGTCACTCCCACAATGCTGGCTTGGATCTGTGTATTGATTAGACTAGTTGGCCGTATCAAGGGTTTGGTGGTCCCCTTGTTAACTATCTGAAAGGAAAGATGATTACAAGAGGTCGACAGACTGTCCTTATGTCAGATGTTGATCGGATTTGTCCCCCACCAGCTTGGAAACATTGATAGCGCGGGTGGAAACCCGATGATGATAGGCATTCCTGTACTGGTCCAGCTGAAGTTCATCACCTTGTTAACAACTTTGTTCTTGGTAACATAGGACCTGGGAAGATTTGGAAATTGCCACCTCATATCATGGCGGACAATTTTGGATTGGATTGGTGAGCAAGGCTTGGGTATGATGGGAACTGTTGCTAAGAACAGGCTGCCAGCAAAGGTTCCTGGAAAGAACTTTCATAAGAAGAATGCCGCAGGGGATTCAAATGGAAAATGAAGAGCAAAGGCATCCCGTATAATTAAGCCTAACTGCTGTGAAAACTGTACCAGCAGATTTTGACAAGGGGACAAGAGCCTACAAACAAGTCCACTGTTCATTCCAGAGCACAGGAGCCTACAACTTAGGCTTGGTCAACTCTATTTCATCTTCATCCTTTTATATTCATTGGAAGGAAAGAGGAAGGGGGGCTGAGAAGTGTGTATGGGGCATTGAAATGAATGAGTCTCGTGAGGTTTATCTTTATAGTTATGGGAAACTGGATCATATTGACGCATACATCTCCCAAGCCAATATTGCCTACAGATCGTGGAAATACTATCATGCGGCAGTTAACCATGCAAAAGCATTGGAAATTGCTACTACTTACAATATCTACAAAGAGTGTACTGATGGAAGCCTTGATGTAGAGTCGAAGGTAAACAACGTTATGAGCTATCTTGAGTTCCATCAAAGGCTTGCTTTGCAGATGACAAGGTACAATCCAGCTGAGCAGGCCTATAACTGTGATGCTAGGCTTAGCCAGTGTACAAAAGCAACACAAAGGTTAAGAAGCAGTAGGGAAACTAGAAGAAAAGCATGCAAGACTTCTTTCCTTAGGAATGGCAAGCTGCTTGCATACCACAATTTGCAAACGATTATGGTACAAAGACATGCATATCTTATTATGATATGATAGAGTGTCACAGTTCAATAGTAGCGTAAGTACCCTACAAAGTTGGAATGAGTATGGGTACTCCTACTAGTACAGATTATAGATGATGATATCAATCACAAAGTACACTTGTGCCAGGAAGGCACAGCAATACTCCAGGTAAAATATTTGCAAAATGGAACTAAAATTGCATTCTCATTATTGCCTCACCAATGGCAATGAAAATTCCTACTATATAACCATATGACCCTAAATAGTCATACTGTGAAGCATACTCCTACTTTTGAGACCGTATTGCTTTTTTTCTACAGTAATTTTCTACAGGCTTATGGTACTTCTTCTTCTTGGCTACCAACCATTCAGTAGCTTTTTAGTTGCATTCTCAATGGTTGAATGCTGCAGCAGAATGCAATAATACAACAAAAATTGGTCATATCTTGACTAAGGGGAAATGACCCAATGCAACTCAGTTTGGAGGTGCAAACTAGTAGCACATCATTTTGATCACCATTTGATCTGGAGGCTCACTGATACAGAGATAATGATATTGAGGCTTCTGCTGACATGGAGGCTTGCTGCTGATATGGTATCCACTGATACCGCTTCTGTTAACACAAAGGCTTGTTAACACAAAGGCTTGCTGATACAGAGGCTTGCTGATACGGCATCTGCTGATTCAGAGGCTTGCTGCTAATACACAGGATACTAAAACAAGTTGCTAATACAGAGGACACACACTGATACGGAGGTACAGAGGATGCTGATACAGAGGAGTCCATCTACGATTATGTTCTACAATAATGTCTGTATTGGTGCAGATCCATCATAGGAAGGGACTTGCTGATACAGAGGAGTCACTGATACTATTTGCTGATATGAGCCGGTGACACGGATGATGCTGATACTGACAATTCACTGATATAGATGAGTCGCTGATATGGCGTCCACTGATATGGAGGATGCTCACTGATAAGCAGGACCCTTGGTGATAAGAGGATGTGGGTACAGATGATGTAGATACAGAGGATGCTGATATGGAGGACACTTGCTGATACAGAGGATGATGCTGATACAGAGGCTTGCTGATACAACATGCTGATACAGAGAATGCTGATATGGAGGAGGCTCACTGATATGGAGGAGAAATATGGGAGAGCTACTGATACAGAGGATGTTGGTGATACAGAAGAAGGGACAGAAACTGAATACTACGGACACTGAATATCATGGACACTGAATATGGATGCTGAATATGGACGCTGTATATGGATGCTGAATATGGACGCTGAATAGGGGCGCTGAATATGGACGCTGAATACGGATGCTGAATACGGATGCTGAATACGGACGCTGAATACGGACGCTGAATATGGATGGTGAATGTGGACACTGAATAAGGAAGCTGAACAAGGATGCTGCTGGATATGGATGAGTTTTTGATATGGAGGATGATGCTATACAGAGACTTGCTGATGGGGAGGATGCTGATACAGAGGATGCTGGTGTTACGACGAGTCATTGTTGTAGTACTAGCTACTACTACTAGCTGCTAACTATTAGTACTACTTGTCCTCCCCCTCTAAGATCTTAAAATAATGTCATAATAGTAATATACTTCTGTTATTGTCAAGATTTACCTCCATGATTCTATGTCTGTTTAGTATGGAAATTGCCTTGTGCTCATTAATTTGCAGATTTTTTGCACTATTGGCATGGTATGCCGGCAGTAGGAATCAATACGATGTACACATAGAATTGTACTTCCTCCGTCCGTAATTAAATGTCCCTTTTGCACCTTTACTACTGAAATAAGGTCATTATTTGGGCAATTAGAATGCTTCTTTTTGCACTTAACAGATCTATTATACAGTTATTCATTCATGAACATTGAATATAGTCAATATGTCTGACGTACTTGGTGTAACTACTTAAAGAGACCTGATTTTGGCATATGATTTTCATTTTACCGGTTGAAAGGGTTCTGCCAGTCATTTAACTACGGGACTGGTGGCTATAGAAAGCTGAGAGTGAGAGCTTTATTAGGATATGCTTATCGTGCTCGTTGAGAAGGTTCCTGTGCAGTCATTGTTGGTCAAAAGAGAACCCAAATATTGCTCGGGCAGTTGTTCGGGCGCATGCAGTTTTCATGTGGTTTTTTGAATCCTGCGCTGGAGAGAGGAATCGAAGAGAAAAAAAAGTGCTTCGCGCATGGTGAAAAATGCTCCCCGTGTTATTTACACGTGATAATTTTCACTCTTGATTCACTCACACCTCCCAATTTCCTCTTTTTGACTCCTTTCTGTCACTTTGCTGCTCTTTCCATTCAACTGACTAAGACCGGCTTCTTTCTTCTTTGCACCTCAAGTGACTCATTGACGCGCCTCCACTGAGCACCTCCACTGAGTGCCTCCACTAAGAGGGGGGGAAGACCAGTCTGCGTCTCCGTTGAGAGGGGATCAAATGCACCTCGCGCCTCCGTTGCATGGACCGGTCCGCGTCTCCGTTCCGCGTCTCCATTGCACCCAGCACTAATAGGGGATCCATCGACCGGTCCGCGTCTCTGTTGAGCCAACGCGCCTCCACTAAGAGGGGGGAAGACTGACTCACGTCTCCAGCATTGCTTCCACTAAGAGGGACCGACGTGGGACGTTGCTTCCTCGCCTCGGGGGAAGGGAGGACTCCGCATCTCCATTGCTTCCACTAAGAGGGGGGAAGACCGACTCGCGTCTCCGTTGCTCATACTGACTCGCGTCTCCGTTGCTCATTGACGTTGAGCCAACGCGCTTCCACTAAGAGGGGGAAAGACCAACTGGGGCGTCTCTACTCGCCTTGCTAAGAGGGGATCCATCGACCGTATGCAACAATCAACCGACGATTTGCCGCTGGGTTGATTCGCCGCTGCTTGTTTGTTTCAACTCACTTTTTCTCCCCTTGATTCTTTCTAAAGCGAATCCACTAACAGCAAGATGACAACTAATGCAATTGAGCTGCTGCTTGAAGCTAGCGATACTCCTGCAACAACAACAGGAGCAAGTGATACGGCAAGTGGAAGCGATACGGCAAGTGGAAGCGATACGGCAAGCGATACTGCGAGTGATGATACTACTGCGAGTGAGTCCTCTTTGTCTAAGAAGAAGAAGAACTTGACTAACAACCAAAGGCAAGCAATCATTCAGATCCTTTTACAAAAAAGGAGCACTATTGGAAAGCCTCTTCCAAAGGGAGCTTTGAAGGAACCAGCGGAGCTGTTTAACGTAGCAAGAAAAACGGTTGCAAGGATTTGGAAGAGGTACACAGAAACATTTGACCCAATCACTTGCCCTGCTGGTGATGTTGGCAAGAGGAGACACAAGTGCGGAAGGAAACCAGTACCACTATCAGTTCTTGATGCCATTAGAGATGTCCCCCACAAAGACAGAGGTGATCTAAGAACTCTCTCAGCTACTACTGGTATTCCAAGAAGCACTCTGCACCTACTTGTCAAACGTGGCCAAGTAAAGAAGCACAATGGAACTACGAAGCCTTTGCTAACAGATGCGAACAAGCTGAAACAAGTCGAATGGATATTGAAACACATTGATAACAACGGAAAATTTGACGACTTCTTCAAGTACATACACATCGACGAGAAGTGGTTCTACTTGAAACGCACAAAGCAAACAATGTACCTGCTCCCAGATGAAGCGGAACCCAAGTCGACCTCCAAGTCCAAGAACCATATGACGAAGGTCATGTTCTTGTGTGCAACTGCTCGACCACGATGGGATACCAACCGGAACTCTTGGTTTGATGGCAAAATCGGAATATGGCCCTTTGTTGAGAAGAAACCAGCTCAACAAAGATCTGTAAACCGCCCTACTGGTACTCTTATTACCAAGCCTGTCAACGTGAACGGTGACGTTTACAAGAAGATGCTCCTTGAAAAGGTTCTTCCTGCTATCTACGAGAAATGGCCAYGCGGAGCAAGCGGCAATGACGAGGAAGGCCGTCCTGAGATTATTATCCAGGAGGATAATGCGAAGCCTCACAAGGCGTCAATCAGAGATGCTATCAAAGAAGCTGCAGCTAGCAACGGTTGGAACATTTCTGTTACGACTCAACCTCCTAATAGTCCGGATTTGAACGTGCTTGATCTNGATGCTATCAAAGAAGCTGCAGCTAGCAACGGTTGGAACATTTCTGTTACGACTCAACCTCCTAATAGTCCGGATTTGAACGTGCTTGATCTTGGTTTCTTCAACTCTATTCAAAGTTTGCAATACAAGAAACGGTCAAAGGACATTGATCACTTGATTGCTAACGTTGAAAAGGCATTTGATGAGACTGAGCGGGAAGCACTGAACAATGTCTTTCTTTCCCTCCAGGCTTGTATGGAAGCTACACTTGGTGCTGAAGGTGATAACAATTACAAGCTTCCTCATATGGGAAAGGCRAGTCTTTTGCGCGAAGGTACCCTCCCGATCTCCATTATCTGTAATGACGAAAGCCTCTTGGCTGGTCAGCAACTGCTAGCTAGTAGTAGTAGTAGTAGTGCAAGTAGTAGTTAATAGCATAAGTATACTTCTAGTGAATATTAAATGTTTTCTGGTACAAACTGCACACAATCCTACACAGTTGTGATAATGAGGACATTTTTTATGGACAACAAAAAAGGGTCATAGGTACATTTAATTACGGACGGAGGAAGTACATGATTTCCTACTGTTGCATTTTTTGTTGCATGATGGTCTAATACCCCCACGGTATCTGCTAAATGATACACATGTATTTTTTACCTTTGTTTGACTGTATATTATATGGTACATATTTTCGCACCCCTCATATTTAGTAGTATCAAAATTTTTCTGTGTACATTTCTACGGTGCTGATGTGTGTACTTGTATTATTTTATTAACTACTGGAGTCGCCTAATAAGTATAATAACCCACCGTATAACTGCTAACTGAAATATACAAATAATGATACACACTCCCACATAATAGGGACTGGAGTCGTTGGCGATAATTGATTATTTCCTGGTACTAAATTTGTGTAGGAATTTGTTTAGGTCTCCCCCCCGCTCCCCCCCCTCCGCAAACAGCTTCATTCATTCTATCGAAAAACTCAGTTTTGCAAGCCACTTGCCCATGGTGTTCCCCCCCTCTATTTGAAGCACTTATACTCAACCTTAGACAACAGGACTACCACTGTTGCATTTTCCATCTCAATTGTCGATTTAACAAGCCCTTAAACGTTCAAAAGGACCCAGTACAACCTTTGTTTGGTCCGCCAGCTGATACGATACGATACGATACGATACCATGCCTCGCAAGAACAAGAACTCAGCTCCACCAAGCAGCTCAAGCAGCAGCTCAACAAGCACCAACCACGCGGCAAGCAGTAACAGCAGCAATGCGGCAAGCAGTAACAGCAGCAATGCGGCAAGCAGCAACGCGGCAAGCAGCAACAGCAACGCTGATACAAGCAACGCTGATACGAGCAACACAGCAAGCACCAGCATTGGTGATGGAGGGCTAGCAGAGCTGGCAGAGCTAATGAGAGTTGATCCAGACTTATACATGCCATCCTCAGATGATGATTCCAACAGCAACAATGGCCGCACCAGCACCAGCAACGCCAGCGACCCC